ATGTTTGCGTTGTAAGACTGTTCAGGGAGACTTTAGATTTAAAGACGGTGTCTCGTTATGCAATGTTTTCTCAGTCAAATCATACAATTTCCTATTGATTCAATAGAACGCGTGAGCTCACTAGGGAATCACAATATGGCGGCGCGGTGGCTTCACTGTTTATGACGTCATGAGCTATCCAGTCATTCTATATAGATCAGTGGGGTCATCTTATATTCGAGTGGAGGAATCGATTGATAGCCTTTTTCTCCCATCGACTGACGAGAGCGCCGAGGATCTCGATGCGGCGCAGACGCGCTTAGAAAAAACGAGCGCGTCGCTTTCATTATGAGCGCGCATACCGCGCGCCTACATTTGAAATAACGAACTGGAGCGTGCAAAATACGCGATATGTGAACAGGGGGGGCGGGTCTCTGCTCGCTTGTCTCCGTCCGCTCTGGCATCCTCTGTGAACGTCGCTTTTTCTTGCGCGGCTCGAGCAGAGCGAGAGAGAGAGAGCGGGAGCCGGATCGTCGTCGAAAATGGCCAGACGACCCCGCAGGGTGGTTAAATCCATCCCTTCGCACTCAGGGCAGCCGCAGTCATGACCAATCAGGAAGCGTATATGTGCCGGTCTCCGCCGACGAGCGGGCCTCTACACGAGGCACAGGTGATGCGAGGCATTTGGAACAACGCCTCGGAAATTTGCTCTTAATATTATTTTCTGTTGAAAACCAGATTTTTTCCACAAAAATCTATTTTTCCCCAAAAATAAGTCTGGAAAATGGGAGGGTCGTCTTATATTCAGGGTCGTCTTATATTCGGGTATATACGGTAAGTGCTTTTGAAGTAAGGGATCGAATATTCAGCAACCCGAGCTTTATCATTTGTTCATCTGTATTATATCTGTTTTTTATTTGTTGAACATCAATTGCATTTTTACCCTTAAATGGGTTTGGGAGTTTTTTGTATTTCGTAATTCGGGGAATTCGAGACATGATGGTCTCTATATGATGATATCTAGGTGAAAGAGTCTCTATGTGATGGGATTTATCTGACCTCAGTGACGTGAGACAGCTAGCAGACGGTCGGTTTAGCCAGTCTGTCTGCTTCCTGACCTTAGCCCCAATTCATGTTTGAGCTCTAAGACTATGTGCCATATTACTAGAGAGAAGAGCAGCACCATCCCAGGAGGGATGAATACCATCTCTTTTCAACAGGTCAGGTCTGCCTCAAAAACTTTTCAAATTGTCTATGAATTCTATATTATTTTGCGGACACCACTTAGACAGTCAGCCATTGAGTGAGGACAGTCTATCTCATCACTCCGGTGAACAGGAAGGGGACCAGAGCAAATTACAGTGCCTGACATCGTACTTGCGAGTTCACACACCTACGTTAAACGTTAATTTTAGTGATGTCCGACTGGCGAAGTCGAACATCATGAGTGCCGACGTGAATAATAATCTTAGAGAATTTACGATTAACATTAGCCAGCACTTTTTAATTTGCTTTGATGTCAGGCGCTCTGGCTCCCGGCAAACTTGTGACTATGGTTGCTGGTGTCTCTATTTTCACGTTCCGTGTAATAGATTTGCCAATAATTAGGGCACATTCAGCAGGATTCACAGTGGGAGTTTCACTGAGTGGGGAGAATCTATTTGTTATGGTAATCGGAACGGAAAAACAGTTTTTTGTCTTGCGACTACAGCGTCTCACGGTCACCCAGTTGCCCTGCTGCACGGGCTCTTCAGCTGGAACCGAACAATGTACAGAGTTCACTAAGCTAGTCGCATCCAAAGCAGTATCTAAAGCCCTTGCACTCTTAGGGCCAGATGTACATACATTTGCGAACGTAGCGCTAATAGCGCCATGGCCAAGACGCAGAAAGTGCTTGATGTGAAACTGCAGTGTGCGTGTTATGTACCAAACCTGCAGTTCATCAGGTAATCAGCGCCTGTCCCCACCCACTATACCGTAAACTGCGCGTATTTAAATGTGCAATTGAATGGGCCTCCTCCTCTCACTGCTGATGCTATGACTGTTTAAAATTATCCTGATGCCAATAATTGTAATGTAGTTAGGAGTTTAACAACTGCTGGAATGGAATGTGAATGCTGAGTCAGAGATTCGATGTCATCTTTGATTTCTTCCAGTAACTGTAATATTGCGTAGCTGCTTAATCTGTAACGCTTAATGATTTCGTTTTCACTCAACTGAAAAAGTATGATTCTTGTGGCAAAAATCTTTTCAGCTTGTCTCCTTAGCCTATGTCTTCGTCTTGCTCGGATTACTGCTGCCATTTCACCAGGAGGCATATGCCAGGAAACCCGCTTCCTAAGTTACACCTGCTTTTAAGAGGCGGAGAATTTTCAGCGCAAAATAGAGGCACGCTTTCACCGGCTTTTTCTGTATATAACGCAGAATACATAATTAGGCGCAGTTTACGCTTCCTCTCCCATCTCTCTATGTGACACTCCCACTTTCCCCTTGACCATCCCATGAATGCATATGCATGACACGAAAAGCGCATTTTGCCATTTTCAGTTCCCGTGACAGGCAGTCTGCGCTTTCATCTTGGTGCATCCCGTTCGTACATACCTCGCCATGGTTTTATGTGCACTTTGCGAAACAAATACGCCTGAAGTGGGCGCAAAAACGTTAGTACATCTGGCCCTCAGTATCCTCGATTAAAGTTTGGATGCGTGTCTCTAGTTCTGAAATCTTCTCCGTCAGCCTAAATATCTCCCTGCATTTATCACATTTAAATCCCTCATTGCTGACAGAGAATGTTATACTATACATGTGACACGAAGTGCAAGCGGTAATAACAGGAGAAGACATTACTCACCGTGTTTGTTGACTGATCCTACTCACCACAGTTGTTTGATAGACTCGTTAAAGGTGCGAGCGTGCGAGAAAAAAAAGACTGCAAGCACGGATGGCAGGTTAACAGGCTAGCGAGATACTAGCGTGTTGTGCTAGCGATAATGATTTATTTAAAAGCTAGTGATGTCAGATTAATGTGATAGGCAATATTAGACAATATCTAATATATGTTGATGAGTAAGTTAAATTTAGCTCCCCCCAATTCAGTAAAACTGCACATTGTAGAGTGGCCTTTTATTGTGGCCAGCCTAAGGCACACCTGTGCAATAATCATGCTGTCTAATCAGCATCTTGATATGCCACACCTGTGAGGTGGATGGATTATCTCGGCAAAGGAGAAGTGCTCACTAACACAGATTTAGACAGATTTGTGAAAAAATATTTGAGAGAAATAGGCCTTTTGTGTACATAGAAAAAGTCTTAGATCTTTGAGTTCAGCTCATGAAAAATGGGGGCAAAAACAAAAGTATTGCATTTATAATTTTGTTCAGTGTACATGTGTACAAATGTAAAACAAGTTGTTAATCACAATCGTACACTCATTATATTAATTACATATCTAAAGCTAGCACTATAAATCTGGTCCACCTAAATTTATGGTTAGGATTACTACCATGTCCATCATAAGTACCTTACTGTAACTGTCTCCCAAGTGTAAGAATTTTACTGTACACACGATTTTTGTTTGTTATTATAAACTGAGCAATAAGTCAACATTACTTTCTGTGATAATCTACATTATGCCTTAAGTGTTGTCAATAGACCTAAACTTGTATTGCAACTGGAGCATTCCTTTCAGACGCCCATGGAGGGCTGTAGCCAACGCATTAATGATCTATGTTGCCGCAGGCAGTCGTGCCGGTGAGTGCCGTTCTGCGGCTCTTCTCTTCAACCCTGGGAGTGCGCGTTGAAGGGCGTCATACTCCTCCGCTCCCTAAGATCCATGTCCATTGTCTTCTGCCTCATAATCCATTGCTTGCTAGCAGCATGAATCCAGCTTGGGGAATATGGTGTATTCTGACTGTGAAAGGATATTGGTGGGATTATGATTCGCCTGAATAGTTGATGCCGGAAATGCCCGGCATCCTTTTTTCTTTCAGATCAAATAGACATAGCAGGTCAGTGGCTCTCAGATCCATTAAAGGAAAGATGAGGTGAACTCATGTGGGAAAGGAGACCTTTCATATGATGACCTGCTGAGGTCATGTACACTGGTTTTCCAGTGAGAGCTCCCCACAGGCCTTTGGCCGTACTGTATATTTTAGTTTTTATTGAGCCGTTTTGTTGATACCCATTACTGTGAAATATGTCATGTTAACAGGAAAAAAATGCAACAGAAATCTGAAAACATTCACATGAATGTTAGATTTATGTGCACTAAAAAAAAAAAGTGGGAAGATTCTACCTAAATGGGTACAAAGGCTTATCACTACCATCTTTGTAGAGGCTAGACACTTTCTTCAGAAATATATTTCTCACCATACATGTTTCTTGAATTAATAACAATTAAAAACAAAAGGTTGCAGAAAGATTATATGGCCACTTTATTTGTAATGATTCCTGACTGTGTTTCCCTTGTCTTGTGTGAACTTTAGTTATTTCCTGTTCTGTGTCATGTTTTGTAGTCCTTTGTAGTTTTTCTAATTTATTAGTATCCCCAGGTGTTTCTGATTAACCACGCCCTCTTGTCATCTTGTTTAGCTTGTTAGTGTCTGTATTTAAACCCTGTGTCTTGTTACAGTGTTTGTGGGTTCTTGATGTTGTTAGATGTTGGTTGTGTCGTTCTCTATGTCTGAGTTTTTGAGTCTGTCTAGTCTTTAGTTTATTTAATAAAAGTACTACTGCTGCATTTGGATCCTGCTTTCTTCTATGTTCCAACCGGCCACTTAATGATAATCTCCCTATATTCATGTGAATTAATATAATTAAAGGGATACATATGCATTTTTAGTTAGCATCTCACCATCAGAATATCGTACTATCATTCGGAATTATGTGCATCTGCTTAATCCAGTCATGATGTTTCTCGTATTTATGCCGTTAGTGTGATAATGACAACATACTTCCTCTGAGAATGTTTCGGATTAAAGATGCGTTTATCAAATCTTTCGTTTGGATTTTATTTTTTTCAGACTCTGAGTCTGACTTGCACAGTCTGCGGTGACCCCAAACCTCTGGTCAGCTGGTCTAAGAACAATCAAGAAGTAGAACCCAGTGATCAGTACGTCATTGCCATGGACTCGGGCAAGTTCGCCAGCCTCACCATCAAAGGCGTATCCCTGGAGGACTCCGGCAAGTACACCATGACGGTTCAAAACAAGTACGGTGGTGAGTCGGTGGACATCGTCGTCAGCGTGTACAAACACGGCGACAAGATTCCAGAAATCAAACCCACACCCACGCCCAAGAGGATCATGCCTCCCACAGGTCCGATTGTACTTCCCACCACCAAGGCTGCCACCGCTGCCCCTGCCCCTGCTGCGGCCAAGTCTCCAGCTTCTCCCCAAAACGCCAAATCCCCCACTCCGCCCCGTGGCATGAAGTCTCCCACTCCCACTAGGAAGAAGTAAAGGCCCAGCTCTTTCCTCTCATTTGCCCCAACAGTACAAAGACGACTAGATTTACATTTCCACTAAGAAATATCAGTATTTGCAAGGCAGAAAAATAAGTTTGAGTTTAGGTTTTGGTTTGATGTAAACAAAATGCCGCCATCATTACACTCAGTACACATCTTGATTTCTTTCAGCTGTACACAGAAATTTACATAGTTGATTATGGGTATAAATCAGTAAAGGTGATGCCATTTTTCTGATGTTACATTTTTTTTCTGTCAGCATAATATGCACAGACATGTATAATAAATAATTCATAGTTTCATTGCCCTAAAAAGTGTAAAAAAATTAGCTGCATCGCATACTGTCTGTAGATAATACATTTGGTTTGAAACTTACTTCATGGCCATAAATAAGGGTAATCGTTTGAATAAGGGTATTATGAATGAAATTCGGAGTAATGTTTGACTCTGCGTTGCTGTTCGTTTGAGCATCCTGACCAGCCTGATACAGCAACTTAGGCACAACCAATGGTGTGAGTTAAGGGGGTGGCGGTATCTGTTTGTCTTACCAATGACACAGAATTTACACACTCTTTAAATACAGCAAGGAAGACAAAACCAACTGAAATTCAGTATGCAAATAAGACTGTCAGAAATTGGCTGAAAATTATCTACAAAACATCTGTACGATAAGCGGTTTGGGCTGAACGAATTGTAAAAGTTTAATTCTTAGGTTTTGAGGTTTAGAACAAACCCTCAGGGATGCACCGATATTAAAATTCTGGCTCACACCAAATAAACTGTTCACTATTGATGTTATAGCTGATAACCGAAAAATAGCTGATAGTAAAATTCTATTTTGAGTTAAAAATGAATAAATAAACACTGAAGTAAAATCAAAAGTTTTTTACAAGTGAATTTAGGCATCATATTGTAATTGAAAGTATGAAAGACTAAATTGTTAGTGTTATTAAAAATTTACTGTAAGTAAGCGTTAGAAGATGGCAACATTTACATAAAAAATAGATGAAAATGAACATGCACAATTAGGGGTGCATTCAGGTTGACTTTTTAAATGGCTCTCTCTCTTCAGTGGCTTTTTGCCATTGATATGACTGGGGAAAATATGTCCCAATCAACCTGAATTCAGCCCTACAATACATAACCAATATTGATCAATAAAATAAAACAAAAATCTGTCATAACAACAGATATATTGTGCATCCCTTCAACATTATGCTGCCTTGCAAACAGTAATTTAACTACAGTGCACAAATAATAATAGTACAATAGAAAAGTAGTATTTTCCTCCCAAAATGCATCATTGTGTCGTAAAATGAGCAAGCATTTAGTATTAAAAGAAAGAGAGTAGGAAGTTTGTGTGAAGGAGGGTTGGGCGAGTTATATTTAGTGCCACGAGAAAATGTGCGAAACAGTTTGTCATCTGGGTTGCCTAAGCTGAGTGGGCTCCTAATGATTTTGGCTCCCTTTTGCTTGGGGGAAAAGCTTTGATGTTAGTTTATTAAATATCTGTTTAAAAGCTGTTCTTTTAGTTAGCAACTGAAATCCAGAGGCTTTTTTGCTTTCTCGAGTGGATGGATGGCCTAAGAGTGCAGGACCTCCACTTAGCCCCCAGCGACTGCCATGAGCCCATCAGCGCTCCTCTCAACCTCATCTCACATCCTTGCCTTTTTCTTCTAGTATTGTGTTAATAAAAGAGTTGGAAATCACTACCAGTGTCGTATCTGCCTTTACATTGTACACAAACACACACACACTTATTGTAAAATATGAATGCGATTAGAAAAGCTACCGCCCCATCTGAAACGCATCAGCACTTTTCTTCGGTTCTTGGGCCAGTTGTACTTCACAAATCATTTCATGTATATGGAACACCTAGCTTGAGGTTTTTTGCTGCCAAGAATGCACTGCTATACTTCCTTATTCACAATGCATGACTTGGCGATTTGTATTGCCTGGCAAATCTCCAATCAGAACCACTTTTTCTTCTTTTGAAATAAATGCATTTAGTTTACAGTGGCCACAAGGTATTTGGACACTTGAACCACTCTTTGTTGCATTAAATAACACTATACCAAGCCAAAGAAAAATAGCAAACAAATGTATATATTTTTTTAATAATGTATAACTATGTTAATGTATAGTTTTCTGTTACTTTTTTTACAATCATGCCAGTGGTTTTTAGAGGATGTACTAGTCAGTTCTCCTCACGTTCACACCTGTATACTGTAGTTCACCAAGTTATGAACATGATCCAACGTTTCACATCCACAAGGTACCTTTTGTGTTAATTTTGAACAGAATATCTATTGTTTTGTGTGTGTGTGTGGTCTTTTTGGTATCTTGTTTGATTGTGTTATAGAATGTTAAGACACAGATACATTTTTTAAGTGTGCCTTAACTGTCCAAATTCTTTTTGGTGCCACTGTATCTATGTTCCTGGTGCTTCTTTTCAGAATGTGTCTCCTCCCATAATATTTAAATAATGAGATCATAATTTTAATAATTTAAACAAGCAGTGACACTGTTTCAATTTTTTTTTTTGATTGAATTACTTCAGTAATCAGTTTACTTCAATAGGAATTTGATTGTAATAATTAAAATGTAGGAAATTTAACTTGTTTTGATTTCAAATGTGACTTTAATTAAAATATGAAAATTTAATCAGTGGAATTATTTGCTTTGAACTCAGATTTCTATGGCAACTCACAATCCCAGCAAATAATTTCCCAGACACAAGACGCATCAGTTCATCATTTCATGCAACAGAAATCACTGAGAATATCACACGCAGCTTGGAAATGCCATTCCTGCAAGATTATCCGTGGTGAATTCTAATGGAGTCGTTGTTGCATGTCTTGTTGCTGACCAGTGCTGGCATGGCAGGCTGACCACCAAGTACAAATCTTTAAGACTGAACACCACATGGTGGCACTGGTGTCCCATTACGAAACCTCTGCAAGTTGCTGTCACCCCAATGAAAGAAAAAAAAGACACAATACCAGATTACGGGGCTCAGTTTTACACTTTGAGTTTTATCAAGAAGGCAAACCACAAAACTATGTAATGTTTAGTGGGCCTGATGAATCAGTATGGGGAACATTGAACACAAAGTCATATATGATAAGACTGGACAATATAGCCGAGGAATTCTAATATATATATATATTTTTAAACTATTACTCTAAATTCAAAATGTCTAAACTCTTTTCATTTATACGCACCTATATGCAAGGGCGTAGATTTGGTTTGAACATTGGGGGGGGGGGTTGAAGTTTGGGTATGCCTCCTGATATTGTGATCATGGTATAAATAATGGGGGGGTTGTAATGCATAGATTTAAATATTGGGGGGGTTATATCCCCCCCACCCCCCCCCACAAATTACGCCCCTGCCTATATGACAATGCATAGTAATAAAAAGGCAATATTTCACTATGTATATTTTCATTGCAACATCGTATATACATGAAAAATACCACATTGGGACAGACAAATTTAAATTGAAAGCACTGGTTTAAACTGACTCAAGGTAATGAATCACATTTACCAACTTAACACAATATTTCATTCTAGGTTTAAAGGTTACTATATCCTCAGCTCACACTGAGTATGCAAACGCTTACAAATCCATCGAAATCCATTAATTTCAAACGCTTGCAAATCCATTCTTTTTCGCTACGTTATGTACACAGAAGATGAGAAACTTGATCAGTTCAGTTGTGTATCTATAGCAATATGGTCACACGTTAGATTAGGGTCCAATTCTCACTATTAACTAACTATTAACTACAACTTTTGCCTCAATAAACTCCAAATTACTGCTTATTAATAGTTAGTAGTTGTTACATTTAGATATTTGGTAGGATTAATATGTGTTTTGTAGTAACAAACAGCCAATATCCTAGTAATTTGCATGAAGCAAGTGAGAATTGAACTCTAAACTAAAGTGTTACCAACAATATAATAAGAATCTCTCTTAAATTTGTCTCTAATAATAATAAATCATAATACTAATAATAATACCCCTGCGTAAAACACATGGCATTTCATTCATGTCAGAATTACATTTTTTTATCATTTTTTTATCTAGTGGTCACACTGATGTGTTTTTACACACACAAGCATCTTGAAATGATTTTACTTCCTGCTAAATGCATTCTGAATAACCAGTACGTAATTTAAAAAAAAAGTTATAACTATAGTGTTTCGTTGAAGAGCCCCCTGGGAATCCCACAACAAAAAAATATACATAATACATAATAGAATCTGAGACTACTTTGAAGTAAAGAAAGTTTGCTATTGTTATCACTGTCGAGTGCACACAGCATTTTCACTGGCAGATAATCTGAGTGTGGGTGAGCGTGCTTTGAAGATGTGTTAGCTTCCACTGCACTGAAAAAAAAAAAAAAAAAAAAACCCATGCCAACAGAAACTGTCGAGATTCTATAAACACCAACGGGCTGCCTGAAATGAGAGTGGTAGTGCTGTGAGGCTTGTCAGCCGTTCGCTCTACACAACGTTTCATTAACAAAAATTAAAAGTTCCTCTCAAACTTTCTCTCTTATCTTTTACGGCCTGAATTCACATGGCTGTCGTTCCCATGTACCACTTATGCTTTCAAATGGAAGGCCCATATTTATGTGCATTCAGCATGTACATCTAAGGGAACAAAATGCATTAAAAGTACTTACATCTTGCAGAAAACACTGTTTTACAACCAGCCTTAGTCTCGTCTGCTGTCCAGGCGTCTTACACTATTGGTGAATTTGACGAGCTGTTCTAAAGAGAGCAGAGAGAGGAGTCGTGCTTTCATCATCACACACATGAAGGACCAGTAGGTTTAGTGCATGTTTCAAGATGTTATAGACCTATAGTTTCATGTGCTATAACTAAGAGAAGGCATTTTCTAATTTCTTCTTTGGCTTGTTGTAAGAGCACTAACACAGAAGACCCCATGAATTGATTTGAGAAGCAAAGTGTTATTTTCTTTGCTGATCGTGAAGGCGTATAATACCTGGAATTCCCAGCATTCTCATCCATCTCAAATTCTGCCATCTTCCCTCACGGGAACTCAGTTACAGAAAAGGTTTTGTTTTTAACTAATAACCTGAGCCATAAATGTCATGTGACTAATTACATATCACGTTGATGGCACGAGAACACACTCGAAAAACAAAATGCTTAGTTATTTATTTATTTATTTATTTAATCCTAACGCTGGGTTGAGACTGTTGAGTAAGGAAGCGGGGTTAATTCGACCAAATTTGGGTTGATGAAGCATTCATAATCAGTAACTCAATGATATGGGTTGGGAATACGGACATGAAACACTGCAGGCACGTCACACAAGTTCCAACCGTTCTCTGAGTGCCGTTACCTCTTCACCTATCCGAATGTGTGAAATAGAAGAAAAATAATTGAAGTGGAGAGGAGTGCGAATTTTAAAGCTGACTTCAATGAGAAGTCCACCAAAATGACTTGAGTGATGACAGGTGAGTGGGATCTGAAAAAGCCGAAAATGCAGTTGAGAGAAGTGAATAAAATGCTTTAATGGCATTGATTCACAGTTTATTCCTGACTATCAGTGTTTATTACAAGCTTTCAGTATATCTGTTTCTTGGCGGCACTCAAAGCGCGAGGCTTTGGCTGTAGTGTGACTAAAATAAAAGTTATTCAATATTTATTTAACATTGTTCAGTGACCTTTTCAAAAAAGCAACTTTGTAATTTAGCAACTTAATTAACTCATTTTGGGCTCATTTTAACATTTTAGCAACTAAATTAACTACTCATTTTGGGCTCATTTTAACAATAAATAAGTTCATATTTGACTCTAATAGTTTAGAGTTCACTAAAATATTTTGATAGTAAAACAGGTAAAAAAAAAAAAACTTGAGGCTAAGACATTCTAATGATGTATAGTTTGTCAAGTTAATTATTTTTTTATGCTGATCATTTTCCACTCTTGCCTGTTTAAGGGTTAAATGAAAAAAAGTGTACTGTATGATTTTCACAAAAACTAACTTCAATTTTAAAGTACATCTAGCTAGTGTCAAAAGCAGAACTCACTTCTTGAAGAACCTAATGAATCAAATCACTTGATAAACACTGAATTCACATTCATTGTATTCAGGAACCACAGATATACCAACACGGGATGAGAACGGGCTGGATCCAATCTTCATTTAGCAAATATAAACCTGATGGTTCAAAAATGTTTCATAAAAAGAAACACTGCAAGCATGTCTTTTGATACAATGGCAGTTTTTGATATAATGTGTCATGATTTATGTCCTCTTTGTGTTTGAAAGGAATAGATAAAGTAATCTCACTATAATGATTAATGGCCCTTCTGCACTAAGAACATGTAAAATGTAAAGGCGTCCTCTGTGTTGAGTGGTATTCAAGACTGAGTTTAAAGGGATACTTCACCTCTGGGAAGATGAATGTGCATTTAATATTGGTCATTTATATAGTAGAAATGTGAAATTATTTTTTAAATTGAAGCATTCTAGACTGAGAAAAGGCAGAAAATGTATTTTTTTACTCATGTGGCTGAAAGACAACAACTCCCAGAAAGCACTTGCTTTGCTGCCCTTACGAGGCCACTCCCAAACCACGCCTACCGGTTACAGGCGGCAGAATCCGAAAAATGGATACAACTAGGCTTGCGTTGATACATTGTGAGTTATTTGATACATTTCCATA